AGGACATGGCACGATGAGGCATAGGGCACATGTGAAGGCCAAATGGACATTGCTAATCAAAGTCTCTGATTGCAGGCTTGAGAGGTGCATGCGCCCAGATGTTTAGCACGCATATGGACACGTGCCTCAAAGAATGGCAGTTAAAGCACAAAGCGAGTAGACTCTTCTTCTGCCTCCTGTTTATAAGACCACTTGTTCTTTTCTTTAATTTGAGGTACAAGCCTTGAAGCACTTATTGCTTATGCAAAAGAACCAGCAAGCTGTGCTCAGATAGCTCTTGTCATCTCTAACAAGTCTGGGGTGGAAGATCTGAGAAATGCAGCCCGTGCTGGAATTCCCACCAGGGTAAGGACATCCATTTCCTTTCAATCACCAGAGAAACAGCTATCACTTTTACAAATCTGGGGGAAGTTTTTTTCACTAATAATTCTTGTCCCACATTTATTTAACCTTTATATGGTAGGTTGTTAGCTATGTATAAAATAATGGTAACAACAGCAAAGATCAAATCCAGAGTCATATAGGGACCTGATCCAATGCTCAAGGAGGTCAATCGGAATCTTTCCATTAACATCAGTGAGTATTAGGACCTCAATTCAGTAAAGGGTTGAAGTGTGTGTATTGAAATCAGTAGGACTAGCCCCATGCAGCTTACTGCTTTAATTGAAAAGAGGAAGAAGAAATCAATAAAATGTCCTTTTTTTGGACCATCTGTGCACACTTTCCCCTTGTGTACAGCATTTATCCATTCGCCTCTGGAGCATGTAGTGAATATCTGCATAAGAAGTTCTCCTTTATTTCACACCATCGTCAATTACTTTCAATAGCAAAGTGAATCTCATTGTGTTACTCTTATTCAGATTAAGTAGAACCTCACTGCCCAAGGAGTCCCATTGATTTCAATTGTGTAACATACACATATAGTAGAAAAATAATTGCACACATTGAGAACAGTGATATCAGCTAGGGATTTCTGACATAAAACACAGTGAGCCAAAACCATGTTTTTATTCTAACGCTAGAAAGCTTACCCAGCGTTACTGGGGTCCCTCAGGGCCGGGGGCTGGCGGTGCTGGAGGTACAGCAGTCAGGGTATGGGATGGGGGGGCTCAGAGCAGGAGGTAGGGGTGCAGGAGTCAGGGCAGCAGGTTGGGGGCTTAGGCCTGGAGGTTGGGAGTTCTGGGGGGCTCACTGGGGATGCCCACAAAGGTGAGGACGACACTAGATGCTGCAGCCTGCTCCAGCTCCTCTGGGGCCAGGGTTGTGGTGCCCAGCCCCAGCCACTGGCCCTTTTGGGGAGTGAAGGGGTCAGGGCTATGGTGCCTGGCCCCGGCCACCAGCTCCTTCAGGGCGGTGGTTGGCACTGTGGTATCCAGCTCTGGCTGCTATAGATTGCTACTATACATAAGCACTAGCAAGGCTATAACTTTTTTAAAAAGTGCTCATATGTTTTGGCATGAGTCTATTTTGATTTTCTTTTGTTCTCCAAAGCGTTTACCCTTATGCTTACATGTTGAGTCACTTTTAGTAGTTTGGCTTTGGTTGTTTTTACTGTTTTAGGTAATTGACCATACATTGTATGGAAGTCGCTCAGAATTTGACAGCACAATTGACAGAGTCCTTGAAGAATTCTCTGTTGAGCTGATCTGCCTTGCAGGTTTTACGAGAATTTTGTCCAGTGCTTTTATTAGAAAGTGGAATGGTAAGAAACCGGAGTAAACAATTGTTAGCAATGACTATGAAAGAGGTATGAAAAATGTCAATGCTTGGGGCCTATTTAGCTTCTTTGGGGCAAGATTCTAACACTTTTGTCATATTTTAGCATGTTTCTCTGCATACAGGTGCATTTAAATCAGTGGGGAGTACTGTATGTTTTTATTCCTTAAATTCATTCACTCAAATCAGTGGAACTATGAAAAGGATAAGATGCTACCCAAAGAGCTAAACTGTGTCCTGAGCAATGGGGAGGCACAGGGCAAAAAGGTATCTCGCATCATGGCAGTAGCAGAGGAAGGAAAGTAGGGTCCCTAGAGTCCCTAAGCTCCTCTGACCCCATGCAGGGGAGCAGATGGAAGGTTGGTTCTATCCCTTGCAATGCACCTGGTGGCACATCTGGGCCAGTGTGCAAAGGGGAACATGCTGTGCTGAGTACAGCTCTGGGGCAGCTTACTGCTTGCTAAGACTAGCCTGGGAATTGAGAGGGAGACTGAATTCTCAAGTCCCTCCTGAGTTGCTTTGTGAGCAACACTGCAGTGCCCTGCCCCTTACTCTGGGCTTGAGGTAGAATCATGATGGAGGCCAGAGTGAACAAGGTTATTAGAATCTGACCCACAGGGTACATGTACACTGCAGTCAAAGACCTGTGGCATAGCTGCAGCTGGGCAGTATCATCTGATTCAGGCAGTGGGGCACATAACTGCATTGTAGATATTTGGGCATAGGCCGTAGGCCAGGCTCTGAAACCCTCCCATTTGCAGATGTCCAGGCCTGAACTTTTACACTGCTGCTTTTAGGCTCACAAGCCTGAGTCAATTGAGCCAGGTGCTGAGACTCTATTCCACTGGTTTCTTATTGCAGTAGAGACCAAGATTCCTGTCATAGATGCCTCCTCCCCAGCAAGGCCTGGGAATGTGCACTCCCTAGCTCTGAAAGCTGCTGTGTGTTAGCAGTGACTCAATTCCTGGGGCCTGAGAGGTTATTCCTTTTATTCCAACCTTTTTATTCAGACAGCCCTGCTGTGCCCGTGTGGGAGTAATGTGTCATCCTTTCCTTTTTGAAGACTACATCTTCATTGTAGTCTCTGCATTGGCACAATAGCAACGCTGCTGAGCCTACTCTCTCCCCCCCCCAGTTCCCTTTATGCAGAGTTGTGAGCTGAATATGTAATGTAAGGGGTAGAGGGAGCCTTCCTTATGACTCCTTCCTCCCATCTGTATCCACGGGAGGACAAGTGACTATATCTTGTCCTTATGTGAAATTGGCTCGCAGCAGTTGTACTTTGCTGTCCTTGGCCCTGGAAATGTAATAGTTCCTAAACTATTCCCTATTCCTAGTCCCTTCATCTGTGCTTTTGCATTTGAACTCTTGTGTACCTTAGTAAGTTCTGATTGCTGTTCAGAGCCTTCCAGATTGTTGAATTAGACCTAGTGCCATGAGCTTTTGCCTACAGCTATGTTATTAATTGACTGTCATAAATGTTTTCTATTTTAAAAGAACTGTAGCTTAATTTTTTATTCTGTTTTAAATGATTGATAGGAAAAATTTTGAACGTTTGTCCATCACTCTTACCTTCAGCCAAAGGGGGAAATGCCCAGAAGCAGGTACTACAAGCAGGAGCCAAAGTCACTTGGTGTACAGTACGTTTCGTACTAGTAAGTATTCTTCTGCCTATAAGAATTATTCTAACTCTTGAGGCAAATGATGAATATATTTGATTGTATCACAATAACAAATGTATAAAAGTTATCCAGATAACATGAGTGTAATGACTTTGTAACTGGAAATACTGGAATTATTACCAATTACACAGGAAGAGTTGGAAGTTAATTTTCTGTGAGATGAACTTATGAATAGGATTGTGCACATATGGGTCCCAGTCTATTAAAGAACCTATGCATGTGTTACCTGTGCATGTGAATAATCCCACAGATGCCCTTCCCCAGTGATCAATCCCTTATTATTGCCTTATTTCTGTTGCCCTCCTTCCCTTCACAATAGAGCAGTGGTCACCAACCTTTTTGACCACAAGATCACTTTTTCAGTTTGGGTATGTCTAGACTACCGGGTTTTGTCGACAGAAGTTTTGTTGACAGTATCTGTCGACAAAACTTCTGTCGACAAAGAGCTTCCAGACACATTGAGTTCTGTCGACAAAACAAGCTGCTTTGTCGACAGAACCCTGTAGTCTAGACGCAACCCTACAGGCAATAACACCTTCTGTCAACAGAACTCTGTCGACAGAAGGTGTTATGCCTCGTAAAATGAGGTTTACCAGCGTCGACAAAACTGCTGAGTTCTGTCGACGTTATGTCAACAGAACTCAGCGATAGTGTAGACGCTGGTATAGTTTTGTCGACAAAAGTCCACTTTTGTCGATAAAACTCAGTAGTCTAGACACACCCTAAAAGTGCAATGTAAGATCTACCTCAGACCCAAATACCCTTGTCCCATTTCCTTCCTGCCCCTTCTTTGAGGCCCTGCCTCTACTCCACCCCTTCTCTGAGGCCTCACTCACCCTGCTCACTCCATCTCCCTTCCTCCCACATCTTCACTCACTTTCACTAGACTGGGGTAGAGGTTTAAGGTGCAAGCTCTGATCTTGAGCCAAGGAGTTTGGAGTGTGGGAGGGGCTCCGGGCTTAGCCAAGGGTGGGGGATTGGGTTCCAGGAGGAGTGTCAGGGTGCAAGCTCTGGGAAGGAATTTGGGTGCAGAGGGACTCATGTCTGGGACAGGAGGTTGGGGTTAGGAGGAGGTTCAGTCAAAAATAAAAAACTCACTTTGCAGGCAGTAAAAGAAGCAATAACAGCCCCCACACGTACGTGTTGGGTTGGGAGATGAGAGGGAAGGACAGTGTGTGTGTGTGAGAATGACAGAGACACACACAGCGCATGAGAGTGACAGAGATTTCCATTACCAAGCTCCCTCCATCCCCTTCTGTCTGTGTGGTGATATGGTACAGGAGTGGGGGGCGAAGGGACACCCTGACAGCAGCGCCCCTGCTTCTCTCTCCCAAACCATTCACAGCAAGCAGAAGGCTCCCGGAGGGCAGCTCCAATGCAGAGGGCAGGAGCAGCCTGATCGGGGGTGGAGGGGCAACTGAAGTGCCATTGCTTGATAGCTTCCTGGCCAAACCAGTCAGGATCACCTGCCAGAAGCTCCAAGATCTACTGGTAGATCAGTACAGGCCTGAGCCATCAGCGCGCCCAGGCTCCGGGAGCACGGTGTCGCCCCCGGGAGTGTGACGCATGCGCGGCCCCACCTCTGGTACACGGTGCATGCGCGGCCCTGCCCCCGGGTGCCCGGCCCATGCATAGCCCCATCCCAGGCACACGGAGCATGTGCAGTGCCGCCCCTACCCAGCCGGCAGCCCCACGCGGCGCCCCCTACAATGGGCTGCCCCAGGCGGTAGCCCGCCTTGCCCGTACTTCAGGCCAGCCCTGTGGTAGATCCCGATCTACTGATTGGTGACCACTGCAATAGAAACTTGTTCCACTTTTTCCCATCCTCAACAAATTGTTTATCAGTTGTCATTTTGCATCTCCAACTACCCCCCATCGCTGCCTTTTCTCCAGCTCATCTAATGTGTGTGGTCTGTCACTGATACATTGAATCCTTCTCCTCCATCCTTTCATTCTACCTTCTGCCATCTCCACAGTAGTAAAAATGTGCGACCTCACTGAGTGACCTCTTCTTGGCCAAATCTCAAGGCCGCAACACCATCCACCTCTTCGAACGCCTTGCTGCTACTTCAGATGCTGTCTGCCATCTTTTCCTAACAACAGATTTATAAATATCTCCCTCTTAGGAGGAAGCTAATACAGGAGCAATAATTCTCCAGGAGCCTGTATCTGTGAAGACAGATGATACGGAGGAGACTTTGTTGGAAAGGATGAAAGATGCAGAGTGCCGAGCCTTTCCAATTGCTTTACAGCTGGTGGCTAGTGGAGTGGTCCAACTAGGAGCAGATGGTAAAACCTGCTGGAAAAAAGGAAGCCAAAGCTTGAATCATCATGAAAAGCAAGATTGCATTTCCTCCACTACTAATCTGTGGCCCTAGCAGTACAATAGGCTACTGTCAAACCCATACATTTTCTTTTCATTGCTCACTGGTTTTTCTCTGGCTGTTGTTTTCTTCTGCTGTATTTCAGGCAGACCAATTTCATATCTTTCATTCACAACCAGGATATATCTTTCCTTGTCTAAAGTTTGTTACCGTTCCTTTGCTGAATCAGTATTGGAATCTAAATTACTACCTCAAATGTTGAGGCCCTGCATGCTCAGCTGTTTGTTAAAGGAATGTATATAATCAAAGAATTAAAGGTGTGAAAATAGCATGATTTTTAAGGGAAATCTAAATGAGTTCTCTTAAATACCTGTTTTGTCAGCATCTCCTTTTGATTGTTAATCTGATTCTAGGAAACCATGAGCGTCACAAATCAAATCCATATGAATTGAAGCAAGGACATGGGGTAGATACAGCCATAACATAATTAGATCCCTACTTGACAGGTAAGGAGATGGGGAGAAAAAACTAGGCAATTTCTTAGGGAAGAAATGCTAATTTTTTAGAAAGAGGTTGGCATCTCACTGAGTATTCTCCCCTTTCCATCACCATGGTTGGAGGTTCCTTCATGTCTCTATGCCTTCTCCCTGGTGGCTTTGTAGCTCCTGTGTAATGGGAAGTGAGCCTGATTAACCATCAGAAAGGAATTCTGACAAAGCTGCTATGTAACAGAATTCATCTAGATTGGCAGAGAAGGGGGAGGGGGAGTGTTAATTTGATCAATAATCATCTCTATGATCCCATAGGGTGTGTCTAGACTACAGGGTTTTGTCGACAAAACTATACCTGCGTCTACACTGCCACTGAGTTCTGTCGACATAACGTTGACAGAACTCAGCAGTTTTGTCGACGGCTGTAAACCTAATTCTAAGAGGAATAACGGCTTTTGTCGACAGAAGGCATTATTGCATTTACACTGTTCTTTGCGTCTACACTGTCATGTCGACAAAGCGGCTTGCTTTGTCGACAGAACTGGATGTAGTCTAGATGCTCTTTGTCGACAGTATCTGTCGACAAAACTTCTGTTGACAAAAGCCTGTAGTCTAGATGTACCCTATCTGACTGAGAAGTCAGAGCTAAACTTTAGCAGGTTTAGACATTAGTTACATTTCTAGAATTAGGTTCAGCGCTACCACTATTTAGCCTCCTTCGGTCCTGCTCTCAAATAGGTAAAAATGCCGCCAAAAAGTTGCAAGTGCCACATTTCAGAAATGGTGCCACATTTGTGAACACATGTAATGACAGCCAGCTGTAGAGCATGTGAGCCAGAATCTTGCCAGCTATAGACAACAATGAAATGCTCCGGAGGTCATCACAGCATGCACAGTCACCTTTTCTCTTGTATATGTGTACAGTCAGGGCATCTTTGAAGTCCTAGGGAACTTGCTCTTTCTCCTAAATGGTGATAAATAACCAGGTGAGACGGCACATCACCTGGCTACCACTAGATTCGTAAATCTCTGATGGGATCACGTCACCGCCAGGTGCCTTTCCAGATTTCACCTGCGTGACAGCTTTTTGTATCTTGTCAAGAGCTGGCGGCATAACCAGTTGTGAATCATTAGCCCACTGAAGAATCTCTTAAAAAACACTGCTGTCCAGAGTTGATGTCTAGTTTAATACTACTCGAAAATGTTCAGCCCAGTGGTCAGAGATTTCAGCGCTATCTGTAATCAGGAGTGCTGCCATCAGCAAAGTGCACTGGTGTATAAACAGCAATGCTTGGCCCACAGACAGCCTTTAGTCCATCCTAGAATGCTTTAAAACAATTTCTTACAGCTGTGTCTTGAAATGTGACTGCTTTACATTTCCACCAGCCCTCTTTCATTTGCTGTAATTTGACTTGTGCTTTCTGCTTAGCTTGAATGTATGCAGATTTCCTGGAGGCATTCTCTCTATCCTTGATCCAGGCCAGGTGGTCACATGCATCTTATCAAGAAGAGCTTGGGCATCTTTGCACAGCCACTCAAAGGAGGAAAAATGGTTACTTACCTGAACAATGATCGGTACCCATATTTTTCTGGGTATGTTTGGTCAAATATGCATTCCACAGCCCTCTCACCTTCCCCACTACTTTGGGAATTGTAGGTGTGCATAGTGCACTCATCTATCTGTAGTGGATTGGATTTGTGCACAACACCTTTTAAAGACCATCTGTTACTGCACAGGTTAGTAATTTTTTTAGTGCGGAAGCAGAATCTGCATTTTCACATTGTCAAGCCAGTGACAGGCTTGGCAATGATGGCTTCTTCCTTTAAATACACATATTGGCCAAGTCGGAGACTTATTTTAACTCTGTCAGAGTAAAGGGCCATGTGCAAGTAAAATAAATCAGTGGAAAAGGGAAATCAGCCAAGAAATGATTAGAGAAGTTGGAAAAAGAATAGAGATTTCCGATGAAGGAGCCATTGGTTCATTAGATCAGATCATGGGCATTTATATCCCCTATGGTTACTGATGAATAAAAAACACTTTGTTTTGGAATTATCTTTTATATCCTGTACTTTTGGGGGCATATTGTAGGTCAGGCTCTTGGCTCTAATGAGATATTTCAGAGCCTTAATTATAATTTACATTACAGGCAGGTTCTTCCAGGTTTTGTATTCTTACTTGTTCTGTGGTGAATATGCTTTGATAGTTGGGGAAAATAAAGAAAACTGTTCCAGTCTGTTACCTCGTCTATGTTTAATATACAAGACATTTATGGCTTTGGTATAGAAGCAATGGAGTTTTATTGTTATGATTGCAACAGGGAACTTCTGTTTTCTTATTTTATGCCCTTCCTTTCTCCCAGATTATCCTGAGAATAGCTGGCAGATATTTTGGTAAGCTACAAATAAAAACACGTGATTATTGCTTCTACTCTCTTATTGTACTGTAGTCATATAGTAACATTGTTCTATATATTGTTCTGAATTGTATACATTTTATTCAGATCTAATAAAATTGTAACTAGAGCCTTACTCTTGTTATTTATGTATCTTAGCTACTTCTCTGTCCCCATTGCCATAGTATCCAAGCAACTCAGTCTTTAATTTTTCTTCATAACACTTCTGGGAGTCTAATGCCCACTTCGTACAGAAGGAGGACTAAGGCACTCACTGCCAGATTTTTAAAAGTATTTAGGCACCTAATTCCATTTACTTCTTTAAACACCTACATCCCTTTGTAAATCTGGCCTCTAATGACATGCTCAAGATCAAAAAGTACTCTGTAGCAGAACGGGGAACTGAATCCTGGATGCGCTATTGCCTATAGACTGCATGAGTAGAATGAGTGAATTCTGCCTATTAGTTTCTGCTAATTTGTTAGAATAGTGATAGCATCTACTGTTGAACTATCTATGCACTCTTACCGTATGTGAACTGCAGGTGGGTCTTTGATTGGCAACTCCTCTTTTCTTGGCAGATCAGCATTGAGTTGGAGCTAGAAATCCTACTCTGCATGGTTTCTGATTCCTACCCCATTGAGATGCATGAAAGTTTTTACTTCCTAGATTAAGCCAGGCCCTTTGTGGTCTGCCCATGTGCCTCTCCACTAGGGTTGTAAAATCCCATTTAATTGGTTAACTGGTTAAACATTACGGTTAACTGATTAAAGGGTGGGCAGATGGGTTGTTCTGGTTGGCCACGGACAGGATAAGGCCTGTTAATGGTGAGGCTTACTGATTAACCATTTGCACCCCTACTTTCCACCACCTGGTCATGATCTTGGTCTTTTAGGCTGACTGGTGAGCCAAATGGGTGTTGTGGGAGGTGAAACTGCTAAGCCCTGATCAACTAGAAAGTATAATGAGGCTGGGAATTTGTTGTCTAGGGCTTAACCATTGGCTAGTTGTAGCACTATCCTAGAAGCCCTCGAGATTGAGATATGAAAGAGCCCATCTTGTTTAAAGAGTTCAGTCCCACTCTCATAAGACCTATGGAATTTACTTTTGTTCCAGTGGTACTTGGGCTTCTGCAAAGAAAATGCCACATCAGTAACAGCGCAGTGGAGGAGGGGGAAGTCAAGGGCAATCTTCTGTCCCAGCTACCACTGGAGACTCCAGAATGTAACCTGGACACCTAACAAACTGCCTCATGCCATAGGGCCGGGAACTAGGGTTGCTGCCGGTTCAGCCATACCCTTGGGCTTGAAACAGTTTCTATTATATACAGGTATATACTTTGGTTCAGTGGCGCTCAACTCCCTCACTAAATAAATTGTTCCAGCACCTGTGCCTCACTCTTGAACCTGCGAACACAGAGCAAGCTCAGAAATGTTGGGCATTGCCTGCTGTTTTAACCATTGGAGGGAGCAGTACATGTTGTGTAAGGCTGAGGCGTCTCTGCCAAATGATTTGAACCATGGAGCTGAGTGGCAGGTAAGTAGGCCTATACAATGTTAAAAGGGCTAAGGAGGGTAATGGGGATGGGAAGTGATTGTAGCTGTGTGCCTCTAAAATAGGGCCTTACCTGTGCCATTCTAGAGAGCCCCAGAATCTGGACAGCATAGATCTGTGAATATGGAAGAATTAGGCCAAACTATTTTTGCTCAGCCCTGAGATAGGGTGGTTAAGAAGCTGCTGAGAATGATGGGCATACGACAATAGAGATAGCGCTAAAGGAGCCCGTGAGATGTCATGAGCATGTAATAGCTGTGCGTGCTATTGTGTTTCTGATTTGTTTTCTTTAAAAACAAAAAAATTCAAAGAGACTTTGTTAGCTTTAAAGTCAGTAGGAAGGGGGGGGATATAGTATCCCAGAGTGATAGCCCACTGGTTGAAAATGGAGGCCTTGAGGTAATTCACTAGTTTAGTTTGACCTCAGTCTACCCCCCGCACGGATTTGTAAAAGATGGAATCAATCTTGAAAGATACAGTAATGTATTCAAATCCATATAACCTATCCCATTGCTGACAGTCAAGCAGAGAGCTTTGGCAATAGTTAACAGAGGTGGTGTCTCACTGTGTGTTTGTATTTCCTTTAAGCTGATCTGCAAAAAGGCTTGATTTGGCATGTTCTGCACTCCAACAGGGAACAAAAGTCATGTCAATGAGCAGCTGTTTTTTACAGGGGGATTAATAATATTTAACCCCCCCTCTCAAAAGAGCTTATGGAATACTACTCCTTCCCCAATGCTGGGTCTGTACATAACAGGTACCCCATGATATCCAGGAATATTCATCCTTGCCTTTGTAAGCGTTTGGTTTAGGGTGGGGATTGTCCCTATACATTTATGGTTAGTGCTGTGTTTTTACTTTCTAAATTCCTAGTTTTCCCAGGAACACAGGTCCAGCTTGATGAGCACCTTGCCAAAGTGAAATGATATGGCCTGCTTTCTTTCTGTGGTGGTTGCTCACCGGAACACAATATAGTTTGTTATATGTGATGGCGATAAACTGAGGGCTTGTGTACACTGGCACAATTTGTCACCACAAATTGCTTTTACACTGCAACGTGACTTTTATTGGGAAAAACTCTCAGTTTTGGCAACAAAAAACTTCCAGCCCTGCAAGAGACTTTTGTCTTTTCTTCTCCCTTTACTGCTGACAAAGAACCAGTGTGGACTCTGTTGTTTGTTTTGAGACAATTGGCTTCTCTCAGTATCCCACATCTGTCTTCTTGGCTGTGCTCAGTGTTTTGTGATCTCTGCTGCTCCAGGAAGTATCTGACAGGTGAGTGAGCGGCTCCATTTGGGGAACAAACAAAAAGCAAATCCCTGGATTGTTTCTGTTCTGCTGCTGCAGGGGGAGGGCTGGAGAGACTGCTGTGCTGCTTTGATATTCTTTAGGACAGAGAGCTCACAGAACTATGAGGGAATCCCAAGCAGCACTGGGATCAGCTCTGCCTTCCTACAACACTGCACTGTGGGATGCTTACCACGTTGCTAGCACCCTCTTGACAGAGTAACACAAGGGTCAGCAACCTTTCCCAAGTGACATGCTAAGATTTAACCCTCCTGCCCTGGGCCATGCAACTCTCCTGGCAGCGGGCAAGGGGCTCTCTCTACCACATGCCTCATGGACCACCTGTGGCAATGTAAACCTTTCCACAGACTACCAGTTGTTACAGAAAAAAACAACAAAATGTCTGGTAGCACTTTATAGACTAACAAAACATGTAGATGGGATCATGAGCTTTCGTGGGCACAGCTCACTTCTTCAGATGACCAGAGTTAACAGTTTAGGATGTGGGCTGTACCCAGGAAAGCTCATGATCCCATCTACATGTTTTGTTAGTCTATAAAGTGCTACCAGCCCATTTGTTGTTAACTTTCTCATATTAGTTTATCAAACTTCATTTTAAATACAGTAAAATATTATGTCCAATACAAAAGGTTTTAATCTTTCCTTTATTTGTGGCGGGGGAGGAAACTTTTTTTTGTGTTGAGGGGTCACTAACCCACAGAAAAATCTGGAGACCACTCAAGTGAGAAGCAAAAAAGCCTCCTCCAAAGCCCCCCAACCCTCACTGATGTGGTCCTCAACTGAGACACCTCACTTTTCCAGCACTCCAGCCCACACCAGGTGAGGGAAGGGACAGGGAGGCCTGAGTTTAAGGGCTTCTCATATGCCAGATTTACTTTTCTGGGGTTCCAGAGTCAGTGGATTTTGTGGACCCCCTAGACTCTGAGGTGAGAACAAAAATGAGGGGTTCAATGTCAGCGAATGGGATAGGGATCCAGGACGGAGGAAGGACAGAAAGGTCTGCAAGGGACTTTGGTGGCAGGAGAGGGTGTGGGGGTGCAAGAGGCGGTTTGGGGGTAAGGGGAGTAACACAGAAAAGGTGAGAGGGTGAGAATGCAGCCAAATAGCTAGTTGGGGAGGGAGGCAAAGAAAGTGCAGCGTCTGCAAAATAAAATTATATCTCCCTCTCATCTTCCCTCTGCTCCAGTCTTGCCCCATGATCACCCCCAGCCTGATCCCCTGCCCCCGCAGCCTGAACCCCTGAATCACCCCATCCACCCTCAGTGCAACCTATGCTCCTTCCCATCCTGCCCCACATCCCTGTGCCCCAGCACACTCACTGACAGGGCAGCGCTGGGGTGAGGAGAGGAGCAGGGAGGGGGGCAGTCTCTTCCCTGCCCAGACCCGCCTTTTGCCTGCAGGCTGCAGCTCTGGGGCTAGGCAGGCAGAGCCTGGGGTTGGCTCCAGCCTAGCTGGACAAAGAAGGGTGCTGGGGAAGGGACTCCCTGACCCCTCCCCCACAGGGTTGGGCTTACCATGAGGCAAACTGAAGCGGCTGCCTCAGGTGTCAGACTGTGCGCACCACTAGTTCACACTTTTTGAACAAGGCATTTTAAGGTGTTAGTTCTTCTTTATTGGAGTAGGTAGCAGAGCAGTGCCATGAGAGGAGTAGAACAGGAAGGCAGCAGAATCGAGACCTTTCCAATTTTTGGTCCAAGCTAGGGGGCATGGGGGCATTTGAGCTCCCCGCCTCATGTGCCAAAATGTTGTGGGTCCCCCATCCCCTCCCCCATCAGAAAATTGGAGCTGCAGGCTAGAGCCACAGCATGAGCTCCTGGGCAGGAGAGGCTGAGCTCCTGCCCCGCATGCCTCAGGCAATCAGCTTGTGTGCCCTTTGTGGCATGCGTGCCTGGTAGCTGACTTCTGAAGTAAAACCATGTGGCCGTGAAATATCAACAATGGGAGGCAAAAAAACTGGTTTGACCCGTTTTCACTTTTGGCAACTTTTGCATGTTGACAGGACTTGTGTAACCAAACCTTCCTAATGTAGACATAGCCTGTGTTCCCGTCACTGGAAATAACTGGTAGAGAGACATTCTACACAAATTGGCATTCTGCAATGTCCATGTATTGATACAAAAATCAAACTTCCTGTAATGTTTGCTGAAAAATATATATATTTTTTCCACTTTTACTAGAGAGCTGCGCCCTCACCTCGCTACGCTCGCCTACCCCGTCTCTTTGGCCATTTTCACTTCACTGACAGAACCTCTTGATGATGTCATTCTGTTATCCAGCAGGAAAAAAACCACTCTCTGTCTCTCGCTCTCGCTCTCTCACACACGAGCAAGGAGTGGGGAAACTTTTTTGGGTCATGGGGTGCTGACCCACAGAAAAATCAGGGGCCACACAATCTGCAAAAGCAAAATCCACTTCCAACATTTTCTTTAAAGAAAGATTGTGTTATAAGGGCAATTTCCTTCTTTTGGCATGACTAGAGTCATTTTGATCAGTTAACACCATGGTACCACCCACTTTCTCCTCCATTCCATTGGTGCTCACAGTTGTCCTGAAAAGACTTTTCACAGCCTCTGTCAACAAATACAGGGTTTTTTCCTACAATTCCATCAAAACATTCAGAGAGTAATACTGACTAATGAACTTCAACTACTATGATCTTTTCATAAGGAAACCCAGAGATGCTTAAATCTTTGATTCTTTGGCTATGCTAGTCTAGACTGCCAAATGCAGAGTCAAAGTACTGTTAAAAGGTGAACTGAGAGGCCAGTGGAAAAAGCGATCATAATTAGTGATGGTAGCTGATAGTGAGATCTATAGCATCACAGCATTTTTAAAAAATTAAGTCCCCTCCCTTCCCATTTTTGGGTTTCTTGTCTCTTGTTTGGAGCAGTAGCACTTGAGAGAATTTGCAGATCCTGCTGGAATGCCATGGGAAATGTTACACTAAAATGCACTTTATAAAAGCAGCATAAAAGTAACTGTGCAGTTGCTATGTTCTGTCCTCTGAATACGGTGGTTCCACTACTATGTCCAGGAGCCTTCTCAATTCTGCTGTTCTAAATTCCAGCAGATCTTGCCATTTTCTCCTAGGCACACTGCTTTACTGGCTACCAGTTGCAAAGCAGCAGGGAAGGCTCTGTGCTCCGCTTCTTTTACTCTTTCTGACAAGGTCTCCTCTGTGTCTCCAATCTTTACAGGAACTGCCTCTTGAAAAACTATAGCTCCCGCATCAACTTCCTCCTGAAAAAAAGAAAATCCAGACTACTGTAAGCTGAAAGAAAGGGAAGAGAAGATGCAGAAAAGTAGGACAGTTAATTTGCTCTGGTTACTTAAAGTACCGTTTATCACAGGAAATATGTATGTAATAACATTCATCTGTAAGGTGTGCAGAAAATACAGTGTGGTCACCTTGATCCACAGGAGATTGCTGGGAGTTCCAAGAATGGAAGCAGGTAGACCCAAAGTGAATGCCACGAAAACATCTGCAACATTTCTGTGAAGGTGAGGAATAGCATCCCACAGATGCAAGGGAATTACATGGCTTATGTGCCATGGCTAACTGGACTAGACAAAATGCAGGTATATTTACAACAGAAAATTATAATCTATTTCCTTGTCAATGAAGTAAGTGACCCAAAAGGTCTTTCTACCTCTAAATTATTTCCTGCGTGATCAGCAATGTTCTCTACACTCTGGCTACACTACACTACAAGGTTTTTGTGCAAAAACTCATGGAGCATCCACATCTCCAGCACAAGAAAATCTACAATCGAAAGAACGGAGGCCTTTTTGCAGTGTAGGTATTCCTCCTTCTACAAGGCATAACTCCTTTTTGCACTACAGCTCTTGCTCCGCAGGAGTTTCTTGCGCAAATAGAGCCTATCCAAAAAAGCACAGGTGCTCTGATGGCCATTCTGTGAATGGCCATCAGAATTTTCTTGCACAAGAGCAATCATGCAGCGTGGATGCTCTCTTGTGTAAAAGTGATGCACTTGGAGGTGTGGACGCGCTTTTGCGCAATAAGTTTTTGCGCAAGAACTCTTCCAGTGCAGACATAGCCTCTATGAACTGTCTCTCAGGGGTTCCTTTTCTTTGTGGAAATGCTACAGTGATATACTATGGAGGAACAGAATCACATTCATGTCTGAAAGGACTGAACTCTTTGCCTCCTCTTATAGATCTCTTAAGCAGCTATAGGAGTGGGAGGATGATTTCAAGGACTTAATGAGGAAGCTGCATCCCTTTGCTTTCAAACCTGATAAGAAAAAAAAAATCTTGCTTCTGAATTAAATTAATTATCCACCAGCTTTCTTCACAAATGGTGAGAAGTCAAAGCTCCTCAACTCTATGAAATTTGTAACACACGTCTAAAATACGAGGGAAGGAGAGGTTAACGTGGCAATTAACTGAAAAATATTTATTTACAACAGAGAACTGAGCCAGTGAAACAGGAATCCAGATGAACAATATTCTCTGTGGATGTCAACTCTGCCATCCTAGCATCATGCAGAATTATTACAGGGTGCCCTGGCCCTGTGCGCGTGGCAATAGCTGCTCCCAGGATTCCCTGACCTCTCCCCCATATGACAGCAGCTGCTCCCGGGGCTATCCACCCCCAATCACTGACCCTGCAGGCTGCTGCCATCCAGACTGGGTCTGCTCCCAGCCACTCTCAACCTCTGGGGCCAGGTCTCTCTGGTCTAGCAACCTCTGTGGTCCTGCTGGACCAGAGAGTCCTGGATGAGAGAGGTTCAATCTGTACGGCTATTTGATTAAAAAATTTGGACTAAATTGGTGTCAAGACAGAAATATTGGCACCAGGAAATTAGGACGCCAGGTCTTCTGAATTTCTTATAACTGATCAAGAGCTGGGATTAAGATGTTTGATTATGCTGCTCAAAGCAGGTCCTGACAGCATGGTGGCAATATGGCCAACCTCAAGTGTTTATAGAAAAATATTATGACTTTTACAAAGCTGATACGTTTAGGGTTCTTTTCTTTGCCTGTTAGGGTATGGTCCTTTAGGTTACAGTCACTCCACAGCTTCAGGCTTTTCTCTGCAAGCATGAGGGCTAGAACAATTTTTTTTAATGAATGCTGAGCTTCTCAGATCTTCCTTGATTCCAGCAACTGAAGCTCTGAGAAGAACTCTAAACAAAGTGAGGATCATGATTAAAAGAAAAACAAAACCCAAAAAAACCCCACAGGACTTGGAAACATATAAGTGGTAAAAATGCTGCTGATCACTAAGGTTTTGCATATGTTATCACTCCCACTGATATGACAACTGGTGGAGCAACACTGTTGCCAATGGTAAGAAGCTGCATAGAAAAAAGCAAGTGTAGATAAAGACTGAATTCTAGTATAGTATTTATTTCCGATTGCCCCAAGGCACAACATTCTAAAGAATTCACCACACTATTTATCTAACCATTTGTACTAAGGATAGTTTTGACATAGGAATTATTCCAGCCAAGATTTTCAGAGCTGTTTGTTGTTTCTGTTAGAAATGATGTACTTACAGCTACAAAGTGCACAGTACAGCCAGTGACTCGGACTCCAGCTTCTAACACCAATTTATGGGCATTTGCTCCCTTAAAAGAAGGTAGTAAAGATGGATGTATATTCAGAATTTTTCCTAGAAAATTATAAATGAAATCATCTTTTAACTCTCATTTCAAAAGCTTAAACATCAAGTAAATACCTCATTATTAACCAGAATTAAAAAAGGGCAGACCAAAGCTCATCAGGAATCTATTTTCTACCCTGTCTCATTTTCAGCTGATCAAGGTTGGGAACAATAAAACGTGAGCACATATGTTGTACACATGTCCCAATAATCTCTGCCATAGCTGTCATTTATTTATAGTTGCTTGTTCTTTTTGGTAGTGTCCTCTTCCCTTGGTTTGGTTGGGGATTTCCAACTCCATCACATGCCTACGGTTTTAACATGATAGATATTCTTAGGACTTATAAAAATTGCTCAGCTTCCAATGTCATTGAGTAGTCCCTCTGGTCCTAAATTAGTATAAGTGCTAGGATGTAAGTGACTAGTCAACTACCCGATAAACATAAGCTTATTGGATAGCTGAGTAGTCACTTGACTAGTCGCTTATCTCCCACCCCTTGCCGACTCTATCAGAGAGAGGCAGCGTGGGAGGGGAAGGGGGGGAGAGAGCAGGAGCCAGTGCTGGGAGCAGCTGGCTTACAAGCTGGTTCCCCCAGCACTATCTCCACGGAGGGTAGAGGAAGCAGTGGCGTCCCGTGTGCTGCGCCTCGCTCTTTGAAATGTACAAGAACTGTCCCCAGCAGTTCTGCCTGCAAGGAGGTGTCCAGGATCTGTCGAAAAAGGCTTTCTTTCTCAACAGATGCCCCTCTAGACTGCCGCTTTTTGCTGACAAAGTGCTGAGTCGGCAAAACGTGGTGGCCATGTTTATGCAAATTAGGCACCGGATATTTAAATCCCTGCCTCATTTGCAATGTCAACTTGCCTAATCTGCATTCCTCTGCCGACAGAGGGTTGCAGTCTAGACATACCCCCAGACTCGGTACAATGCTTAACTGTAGCTGCAAAATGTCTTTTGTTGTGTTTGGAAATATACATTAAAACAGCTTATTTACCATCCCACTTTTTGACAAAGGGACCAGACAAAATCCTCATAAATCCTGCAAGACAGATAAGTTCAACTGAGAATTCTTCAAGGACTTTATCAACTGCATTATCAAATTCTATGCGACTTCCATACAGTTTATGGTCAATTACCTACAATATCCAAACAAAAAGGAGAGAGAGAGAGAGAGAAACAGAGACATAAATGTGGGATTAATTTACACTCTCATACAACAAGAACATGTTGAAATACCGCACTGTAATAAAAAAAATCTCAATCTCCATACATGATCAAAGAAGGGTGTCCAGATGCTACAAGGATGGGCACTTCAGAAATGTGGGTAAGTAATAAATCAAATCCTGTAGTTTTCAGCTCAGACCATATTGAGCCAAATTAATCTGGAAAGCAGTGGGAATTTTGTCTGTTTAAACTCAGATTAAGGCTACAGGATTTGTACCATTAACGATTCATTATTAGTAATTACCTGAAAATTATAACAAACACCCTAACCCTTCAACTGGCTTATCCAGCTTCAGTTGATATGAGGCCATAAAGCAATCTATGGGGTTTAATCCAATGCAAACCTTAAATCAGTTTAAAATGCAAAATAAGTTTCTTCTCTGCCTCCATCCTCCCCCTTTTAAAACACACACAACACAGGGCACCTCAAAAGGCTGGAGGGCTAATAATAGACATGCTAAGAAGGAACAGCTGGGTAGGGGGGAACAAGAATGAGGACTGCTCTAATTACAGTTTACTCAACTAAAGACACACATTCCATATTTAAATGTGAATATTAAAATTAAACTAAACCATCAAATTATTTTCTTAAAATATCCATATCTTTAAAATAATGAGGCCTGTTAAATATCAATGACATTTACAAAAAAACCACAATTGGCTACTTCTAGACATCATCCCTTTTTCATAAAAGGGATGTAAATTAGACGTATCGCAATTGCTAATGAAGCAGGGATTTAAATCTTCCCCGCTTCATTAGCATAAAAATGGCTGCCACTTTTTTTCGGCACGGAGCTTTGCCGAAGAAAAGCGCCAGTCTAGACGCTGATCTTGCGGAAAATAAAGCCTTTTCTGAAAGATTCCCTTATCCCTCTTGAAACCCTTCACAAGTCACTTCACCTCTGAGAGCCTGTTTTCCTTCCCATTCTGTCTTGTTCGTTTAGATTGTGAGCTCTTCAAGACAGAGACTGTCTCTGAGGGTGGGATCTAGAATACACCTACTGATCCCTGCTGCCCCCCCCTACGCAGCCGGACACCCATCTCCTGCTTAAGCCTCAAAGTGATTCATGAAGCAGAAGATAGCTCACTGCACACCTCAGTCACATGCAGGGTCCAATGCTGTATGCAACTTCTGAGTATGCCTATGGGACCAAGTGTGGTTCATACTGTAACTTTTAGCCCAGCGGTTAGAGTACTTGCCTGTGATGTAGGAGACCCAGGTTCAATGCCCTCTTCTCAGAGAGGGGGAGAAAGATTTGAAAAGGGTCCTACCACCTCTCAGGAATGTGCTCTAAGTCCTGAGTTAGCTTTGTTGTGGGGCTCTCTCTGCCTTGCCTGTTGAAGCTATTCATTCCACTGTGGATAAATAATGAAAGTGACAGAAACTCAAGCACTCGACTCCAGGTCTCCTGCCTCCCTCCCAGGTGAGTGCCCTAATCACAGGGCTCCAGAATCATTCCCACTCTCAATCCGGCCCTCAGGACTGTTCTACTGTATGTAAAAGACTTAAAACAGTCATTGGGCCGGAGCACTGGAGAATGCTGCTGCAGTCTACTGGTTAGGGCACCCACCAGTGAAGTAGGAGACTCAGGGCTCAGTCCCTCTGCTCCAATCACACTAGTGTTGCTTATCCACTGGGTAACACCGTCCATAGGAAAGGTAGAGAATCCTGCATCAGAAGGTCCCATAGCTCAGTGGGTAGAACACTCTTCTGAGAGGTGGGAGTCCCTCTTCAAATCTTGCCTCCCCTTTGCCAGGGACTGCGGGGGGACTGAACATGTTACTCTCACATCCCAGGTAAGTGCACTAACTGCTGGGCTAAAAAGCTATAAGGTAGGTACTGCCACTTCCTTCTCACCTTCCATTTCATGAGAAGTGAGTCAGATGCCTAAGTCATTCCTGTAAGAAACTCTTTAGGCACCTAAGATGCTTGACTATGTGACTGGACCCTGATGTCTCCCTGCAGCCTGTCTCCAAGAGATGGGAGGAGTGCAGCTCTTGTCAGCATTGCCACTGGCTTGCATAGGCAGCTCCCCATCTACTGTACCAGCTGTGTTCAGAGATGCTCCTCTCGCCCTGTGTATTGGATAGGGAGCCTCGGTGCCCAACTCAAGCTCTGTGGAGTGCTGTTTTAGTGATTTTCTAGGTACCTAAAAATTAGGTGTTGTGACACTGAGCCTCGCAATGCCGCAGTCCCTTTATAGATCTCACCCTTATTATATATTAATATGGCATTAATACCCGGGGGGGGGGGGGGGAAGAGGGAAATCGGGGAAGAGATACAACCTCACCCATCTTGTCTGTCTAATATCATGCAAATAATAATAATAATAATAAAAATGAGTAACTGTTTAAGCATCAGATCATGCTGCAGTTGAAATCAATGGCAGATCTTACATTATACAAAATGAAGAATTAGGCCCAATTGATAAAATATTTTTTGCAAACCAAACAAAAATACATAAACCCTGAACAAGGACTTTCTCCATGCTATTTTTAAACTGTAGCCATGTGGGCGATAACATTGTCTGAAACATACGTATTTTCTTACCACAGCTGAATTTAAAAACAAAACAAATTGATTTTGTTCAAACTTTAATAATAAATAGTCATCTCTGAAGAGACCCCAAGCAAAGAAAATATCAGCTCTGGAAGTGAAAGATATAGGTGTGGGGCGGAAGGAAGAAGTGGTAAGGTGCGTCTGCACAGCAGAGCTTAACGTGAAATAAGCTATGCAAATTGAGCTACGTCAATTGCGTAGCTTATTTCAAAACTGGGAGCGTCTATACAGCACTTATTTCGAAACAGAGCGCTTTTCCTCCAACCTCCCTTACTCCTTGTACAATGAGGGTTACAGGAGTCGGAGTAAGAAATCCTCCAGCTTGACAATATTTTGACATTGTTTTGAAATAACTGCCTGCTGTATAGACGTACCCTTAGAGAGAGAGAACGGGGATTTAATTTCAAGTGGTTTGCAATATTAACAATGGTACGGGTTTCTAGGCACACTCCATAAAAAAATCCCAGTAATACCTCTAAGATGGAACTAAAAGTAGCCTACAGATGGGAGACTTAGGGTGTGTCTAGACTACAGAGTTTTGTCGACAAAAGTGGACTTTTGTAGACAAAACTATACCTGCGTCTACATTACCGCTGAGTTCTGTCGACATAACGTCGACAGAACTCAGCAGTTTTGTCGACGCTGGTAAACCTCATTTTACGAGGCATAATGCCTTCTGTCGACAGAGTTCTGTCGACAGAAGGTGTTATTGCATGTAGGGTTGTGTCTAGACTACAGGGTTTTGTCGACAAAGCAGCTTGCGCTTTGTCGACCGAACTGAATGTAGTCTAGACGCTCTTTGTCGACAGAAGCTTTGTTGACAGTATCTGTCGACAAAACTTCTGTCGACAAAACCCTGTAGTCTAGACGTACCCATAGAGAAGTTAAATAACTTTTCCAAGGGCACAGACAGCAGCAGAAGAATTCTGGAGTTTCTGGCTTCCAGTCTTGTGCTCCAGCTCCACCTCTCCCCTACAAATATTATTCATTCTTGGCTAGTTTTCCACAGCAGTGAAATAGTAAAATCTAATTCAAAAGGTGAAACACTGCTTACTTTTGTAGGAATGCCAGCTCTTTCCGCTCTTCTTAACCCTTCCACACCGGACTTGTTAGAAATGACAAGAACTATCTGTGCATAGCTAGTTGGCTTTTTTGTGCTAGTTATTAGGGCTTCAAGGTTTGTGCCTAAAAAGGAAAAAGAAGAAATAAAGACAAAGTGTTCCTTAGAGGGTAAATATATTGAACATTCTGAGACGACTTTTACAAACAGCAATGTAGGAGTGGCCCCCTGAAGTCAATGGGTATCTTTCCATTTACCTTAGTGAGTACTGGCTTGGATATCTATATCTATATCTATATCTATATCTATATCTAATCTCTGTGTGTGTGTGTGTGTGTGTGTGTGTGTGTACGTACACACACATAATATGGTTTCATAAGTTAGGCATTTGTAAAATAAACTTTCCAGTGCATGAACTATGCTGCATTTCTTACATTTTGGGCTGCCTGCATGTCTATATAATGCAGTATGAAAGTTTGATCAGTTTGAAAACCGTTGCATCCCTCTGATCAGCTGGTTGATCACTTGGAGATGATATAAAATGTGAGCAAAAGCTACATATGTAGGCATCTCAGAGTTTGCAATAGTAGGTAATGATCATCGGATATCTGATTCAAAATGGCCTAAGACAAAAATCTGTTCTGCCTGCCCTAAGGAGTTGTTCCTTACCATCAATCTCTAGGCACCTGACTGAAAGCTCACTGAAAACCATAGGAACACTTAAAGTAACTTAATGCAGTTTTGGTTCTGGGCCTAAATGTCTTTTTCAATAGCCTATGTTGTACCTTGCTGCAAAGAATGCAAAAGCCTCACCTGTTCCAGAGATGAGAACAGCCACCTTCACTTTGCTTGTCTGAGTTTTGTCTTGGATACAGTTGTGGAAAAACTGTAAACTGTTTGCTTGCAAGGCTTGAAGCAGATTATTGACTTCAACACGGGCAGATTCTTAATGGGAAAAAAAGGGTATTACATGTAAACAAACAGAAATACAGAGGACATAAAAGAACATTAGCACGTCTGAGAATTAGACCAACAGCACTTCTTGTTTCTCACAATTTCAAAACTAACGCTCATTTATCAAACACTGCTAAGCATGTGTTTTATGCACTGTAACCAGAGTCTTCAGGACTATCATATAAACACACCAATAGAGCAAACATGATAGAGTATCTATGGACCAACTCCTCAGCTAACTATCATGTAGCTTCACTGATTTTCACTGAGGATCTAGCCCTAGGTAAATGAGAATGCAGTACCTCTGTGTTGGGAGATGACTTTCCCTATCCGCCAAGCTTCCTCATGCCTCTGTACATCCTTCAGAACCTGCTGAGCCAGCTGCTTCTCCACCACCAAGACCGCGCCGATCCCACAATTAAATGTACGGGCCATCTCCTCTTCCGAGAGGTTCCCCTCTTTTTGGAGCCAGGAGAAAATCTCAGGTATCCGCCAACTGTGAGCATCTGAAAAAGGCGGAAGCTGTAAATTGCTTGTTGAAGTACAATGCAAGTGTTTAACAGAAAAGATGATTTTGGACACAAATACTTCAATTCCTAGAATATCAAGAGCCAGAATTTCTGGATATGAATTATAAATGCAAAAATGATCAGACCCGGAGCAGTCTCAGTCCAGTGATTTCTGCTGCAATCTAGAAGAACTGGATTTAGTTCCCAATCCATGTCTCTTACTATCTCAATCGGCAGGGTCTGGGATGTGGGAGAAATGTGGTTCAGCCCTCAGAATGTATTAAATGAATAAGGTCACTCAACTGTGACCCATTTGTTAATAGTTAAGAAGAAGCTTTGAGAATGCTTCAGAAGGTGCTCCTGTTAGTCATCCTCTCCTGGGAAGACGACTGCAATGATAGAGAGGGTATAAAATGAGAGAGGGCTTGTCAAATACCAAGAGACAAGATCGCTTTCCCATCATGGCAAAATTGACTGGTACACAGCAGGCGCCACATTGCTGAACAAGTCCGCATGATGGAATTAAAAAGGGAGTAGATTTTTTTTCATGTTATATTTAAAATGGTATGCCCGAGTTTTCATGAACTAGTATTCAACAGATTTTAGAGTACAGAAGAGATGTACTCTTAATAAATGAGATTTGATTATCTCAGTCTGTGGAAGGAAGTACAATTTATTATTTAGAACGTGGAACAGGGAGTCATGAGTTCTCTGTTCTACGCTGCACCTGCTATAAACACTGTGTGCTCTTGAACATGTCACTTAACTTTGCTGTGGCAACAGTTGCTTGCTTGTGAAATGTGAATAACAACATGACAATACGTTATTACAATGTTTAATTCATGTACGTAAAATGGTGTGAGATTTCACAAAGGTGGATGTCAAAGTGCAAAGAACCATGATCAGGATGTTATGCACACATTCTTCCTAACATGTGAACTACAGGCAGTCCCCGACTTACGCGGATCCAACTTATGTCAGATCCGCACTTACGAACGGGGCTTTTCTCGCCCTGGAGCTCACGGGCGGCGGGTCGCCACCCGTGTCCTCCGGGGTGAGAAAAGCTTCTCCCGGTCTCCCTGGTCTGCTGGGGGGGGGGTCCAGCAAAGCCGCTGGACCCCCCCAGGAGACCAGAGACACCCGAGCAAAGCCGCCGCCTGGGCAGCTTTGCTCGTTTGCCTGGGAGCAAAGCCTTGGAGCACGCCCGCAGCGGGACAGCCCGGGCGCACTTGGGCTGTCCCGCTGCGGGCATGCTCCAAGGCTTTGCTCCTGTCCCCCTAGTCTGCTGGGGGGCGGGGGGGGGGGGGGGCGGCT